GCAAGTTCCCTGGATCTGGAAGCGGCTCGCGCCAGAGAGCGAGAGAGAGAGAGAGAGAGTGAGAGAGAGAGAGAGAGAGAGAGAGAGAGAGAGAGAGAGAGAGAGAGAGAGGAGAGAGAGAGAGAGAGAGAGAGAGAGAGAGAGAGAGAGCTATAAAGCCCACTCTTCCTTGCTCATTCCTCATTATTCTTTCTAGCCCTTGGCAAGTTCCCTGGTTCTGGAAGCGGCTCGCGCCAGAGAGCGAGAGAGAGAGAGAGAGAGTGAGAGAGAGAGAGAGAGAGAGAGAGAGAGAGAGAGAGAGAGAGAGAGAGAGAGAGAGAGAGAGAGAGAGAGAGAGAGAGAGAGAGATAGAGAGCTATAAAGCCCACTCTTCCTTGCTCATTCCTCATTATTCTTTCTAGCCCTTGGCAAGTTCCCTGGTTCTGGAAGCGGTCGCGCCAGAGAGCGAGAGAGAGAGAGAGAGAGAGTGAGAGAGAGAGAGAGAGAGAGAGAGAGAGAGAGAGAGAGAGAGAGAGAGAGAGAGAGAGAGAGAGAGAGAGAGAGAGAGAGAGAGAGAGAGAGAGCTATAAAGCCCACTCTTCCTTGCTCATTCCTCATTATTCTTTCTAGCCCTTGGCAAGTTTCCTGGTTCTGGAAGCGGCTCGCGCCGGCGGCCTTTGGCCGCCGGTGCTCGCGGCGCGGCCTGCGGCCGCGCCCACCGAACGGCAATACTAGAAGACCTGGAAGTCAGAAAACCTAGAGTACATCCACTAGCACAGGCCCTACAGTCCTTTACACAACAGTCTCACAACCAAGGCATGCCCCAATACTAGGCCTACGTATCAGCCAGCGTGACCCCGCCTCCGGTGTGCTAACCCCACCATGGGCGCGAAACGCATCAAAACGGGACCGCGGTTCAACCATGGGGCAACAGCCGGGCCATCACCCCCCGCACGGCCCGCAGAACAGCAGCGGCAGCAGCAGCGAGACCAGCCGCCGTCTCAGCACCAACCTCCCGCGACAGCGCTGACACAGCCAGCGGCGCAGCAGCTGCCTCATCAACAGCTACGCGGGGCTGAAGTGGCACATACACCAGCCCCCAGAGCAACATCGCCACCGCCTCCTCCGCTCGGGCGCGTTGGCGGCGCGACAGCACCGGATCGCTGGCCACTGGAGGGCGACGCTCCAGTGCCACGTGCAGAACCTCCAACAGCTCAGCCACCCAGCCCAAGCAGTCCACCAGCCCGGCCAGCTGCTGGCGACGGCTGTACGTGGGACCGTCTCTCGAGCGGCGCAGACGAGGGACCCGGGGTGGAGGGGACTGGCGGAGACGCACACCACGGGGGAGCCCCACAAGGGAGGCGGACCCGCCCGGAAATAGCTCGCGGAACCGCGGGTCAGGCGGCAGCGGACGATGGGAACCCCATGATGTGGCCCCCCCCCTCCGAGCTTGGGACGGCCGCCTTCCAACGGCCCGACCAACCGCAGCACCAGAGCCGTCGTGGAACTGCCGCGCCTCCCACACCCGGGGATGGCTCCGAGGGGAGAGGAGCAGCTCCACTTCCATACCCGGGGGCCGGCGCGCAGGGAGACCTGCCGGCGAGAGGCCGCGGCAGACGGGGGGGACGTGGGCAGGGACCGGAGGGACGCCCCTCAGGACGAAGACACGGCAGGGGCAGCGGCGCGGGGCTACTAGCGAGGGGCGGGGGCCCAGCAACGGGATTCGTCCAGGCCGCGAGAAGGGCTTTAAGATGACGGGAAAACAGGGACACGCCTGAGGGGGAAGAGTGCCAGGATGCGACTTATATCCCAGGCGTGACGCAAGAGTCAAGCACGGAGGGATCAGAAGCAGCTGAAGCAGATACAAGAGTCGAGAGAAGAAGGGGAGGGAACTGGCGAGGTACTCCGAGATCCAGGGGGATAGAACGACCGGCAAGACGGAATACCAGGGCCAGCTGTGGAGCCGAGAACCAATCCCCTCGGCAGCGGGCCCCCGAGCAACTCGCGGCTGACGAATCATTGTTCGCCAGCATCGCCGACTGGGACGTGGCGGCCCTGTGCGACAGCAAAGAGCCCCCCCTTTCACGCCGACTACCCCGAAAAATTCGCCCGCTCTTCGCGATGTCGCTACTTGTCCCCCTCCTCCATTTGGCGAAACTCCCATCCTCACTACCAGGGTGGCGCCTGTTACTTTTCGTCCCCCGCCTGACGCTCCGCCTCACTTCGCCAAGAAAACCGGATTGGACGGCGACGGAAAAACGACTGAAACTATTCCTCAACGGCGAATGGGAAGCGCTGTACGGCGAGGCGCTCTCAGCTACCCAAACCCCGGCCCCACCATGTCACACGCCTGACACCCTGGGAAAAATCTCCAGAGCGGAAGGGCTGGCTCGGTGCGGGAGTCTTCGACGCGCACTAATGGCACTGGAGTCAACCCCAGTCAGCCCAGCGACACCAGAGGTCCTGGACGCGTTGAAATCGAAACATCCCCCGCCATTGACCGAGTCAATTGAGTGGCCAG